CAACACAAGGGGTAATTATACCTCCAGCTACTGAAAAACATAATCTTATTCAGCATGCAAAAGATTACTGGAAAAAGCAATCACAACTGAAATGCAAAGAAACGTCGAAGCCAGTGAGTGAAGACCTGGAACTCTTTCAAAAAGTAAAATCTTATATTTTGTCTGAAACATTTATGACTTAAACTTTATTTCCTTTGCATTTTTCCAAACAATGGAAAGGGAGCTTTATTGCCTAATAGTAAGGAGGTGGACTGCCAACCAAAGGTGAGAAATTTGAATCCATCTGCTGCTCCATGGGAGAAAATATGGGTAATCTCCTCCCACGTAATTTGTTTTTTGTTTTTGTGGTGTGCCACCGAGTTGGAACAAACCCATAGCTGACCAGCCAGCAGGTTTTCAGAGGCAGTAAATCACTGGAGAGTAGACTGCCCATTCTTCCACATAGCAGCTAGTGGATTCAAACTGCTTGCCTTTGCAATTCAGTGCAGCTTCTTACCACTGGGTCACCAGAGCTTCCTTTGCCCTGTGTGATTTACAACCTCTTAAAAACCTTCTGGAGGTGGCTATGAGTTGGTTCCAACTTGATAGCACATAATACCAACACAACAAAGAACAAAAGAACAGTAAAGCCAAATATTTTTTTATGTTTAGTAATGCATATAAAACATTTTTACTTTTTGTTAGTTTTTTTCCCTCACCAAAAGAGGTCTGATACTTTTTTGGGAGCGAGTATATCCTCAAAACCAAACCCTTTACCACTCAGTTGATTCTGACTCGTAGTGACCCTATAGGACAGAGTTGAATTGTGATTTCCAAGGCTGTAAATTTTTATGGAAACTACCACATCTGTCTCTCCCAGAGTAACTGGAGAATATGAGCTCCCATTCATTTGGTAAGAAGTCAAGCCCTTAATCATTTGTGCCACCAAGACTCCTTTAACAACAGATATACTTCAGAGAAAGTTTAATTTTAATTTAGAATCTTACTTGATTATGTTTAATTATTTTTTTTTACTTTAAAAAATAGTATTTAAAACCTTTCCAGATTTTATAAATTTCTTTGATATTGCAGGCATTCTGTTAGGGCAAGGGGAGAGACATAAAAAAATGAGTCATTTATATAATTAATTTTCATTAGCCATAACAAGTGCTTTTGTAGTCATTTCCTGTTTGACCTTGGCTATTTGTTTCTTTTTATCTCTAGTGAATGTTGATTGAATGAACCTTTCCATGATTTGTTAGAAAAATTGCAGACCACAGAGTTTAAATTAATGAGGTTTTTAGAATTAGAGAACGTTGTGTTCATAGTGGAAAGAGATTTTCTAAAGGCTTTCATACTCAGTGTATTGAACAAAATTTTAAATTTGAAATTAAGCAAATGTGGCTACAAATGAAGGTCTGCAGTATGCAGGTACATAAACTTTAGCAAGTAACTAGAACTTTCTGAGCCTTGTTTTTTTTTCCTTATCTATCCTATAACACTGACTGTGAAGATAGAAGGAAATAAAGTGCTAATCAATAGGCACTAAATTCTGGAATATATAGAATTAATAAGATCCAGCCTATCAGGTATTTTTGTCAAATCATTTTCTTTGAGACAGGTTGTTGTTAATGTGCCATTGAGTCGTTTGCGACTCATAGCGACCCTATGTACAACAGCCCTAAACCCTGCTCTATCCTGTGCCAATCGCATGGCCTCTGACACACCCAT